TCCTCAGAACTTTGCATCTTCGTTACTCTGCTCCAAAAGTTCCTGCGAGACATTAGGATATTAACAACTTTGACACTACGTTGCTTTGAACCTGAAATCACAGGATTGTGAACTAAATCCTAGGAGGCAATGGCAAATCATTTCTATATTATACCACACATACACATACTGGAAAAAAGTCCAGCAAAGAGCTTCTGCTGATTGGGAACTGACCTCTGCGTGAGAAATATCTGTTACCTTAGTTCTGGATCATTTCCATATTATTTTAATGAAAGTTGCTCTGGTCACTGGAATAATTCACCTTTCCTCGACTTACAACAGTTTGTCTAGTGACCGTTCAAAAGTTACATCACCGAAAAAAGTGACTTATGACCGTTTTTCACATCCCCCTTACAACCATTGCAGCATTCCCATGGTCACGCAATCAAAATTCAGATGCTTGATGACTGACTCAGGTTTATGACGGTTGCCATGTCCCAGTCACGTTATTCCCCTTTGGCAACCTTCTGACAAGCAAAGTCAATGGGGAAGCCCAATTCACTTAACAACCATGTTACTAACTTACTTATTTTTTGGGAGTATAAGACGCGCTTTTCTCCCCCCCCCAAAGAGTGTGGAAATGTTGGTGTGTTTTATACACTGAATATAGCCATTTTTCGCCACCCGAAGCCCCGCCCCGTATCCCATTTTTGTGAAAAATGGCCTGTTTTTCACCAAAACAGGAATGTTTTTGCCTTCCCCCACCCCCCAGAAGCACTCTGCAGGCTTCAGAAGGGCTGGGGAAAGGGAAAAATGTGTCCGTTTTGGTGAAAAACGGGAGAGTTTCTGCCTTACCCTAGTCCTGAAGCCTGCAGAGTGCTCCTGGGGGCCGGGGAAGGCAAAAACTTTTTCTTACCTCTTTGAAATCTTGGTGCGTCTTATACATGGGTGCGTCTTATAGTCCGACAAATACGGTACTAACGACTGCAGTGATTCGCTTAATTGTGGCAAGAAAAGTCGTAAAATGGACTCAATTGTGGTTGCAAGTCTAGAACTACCTGTCTACTCTTTCCAAAATATTCACATATATTTTGATATTTCAGGTCCTACATCTAAAGGAGCCGTGGGTTCAGGGCCCAAAAACATTCCATGTACAACTTCCCTTTTATGACCATTTTGGAACTTGATTCCACATACGGAGACAAGGGCTACTGCTGGTACCTCTTCCCTGCTGCCAGAGGAGCCAGGCAGCTTAGCATTAGGAGGCATAAGTGGTTGGGACCTTTTAACCCTTCCCTTTTTGTAAAACAGTGGTTCTCAACCTGTGGGTCGGGACTCCTTTGGGGGGGGTGTCGAACAACCCTTTCACAGAGATCGCCCTGTGAAAACACATATTTTCAAAAAAATACAGAAAACATAAAATAATTTTATGGTTGGGGGTCACCACAACATGAGGAACTGTATTAAAGGGTCACGGCATTAGGAAGGTTGAGACCCACTGTTGTAAAAGGAAGCAAGGGCACCAATTTCCCCCTTATTCTGTTGAGTTCTGTTCCAACACATGGTATGGCATCATGTCTGCAAATATCTCGCTCCTATGAGCCATACGGGGAAAGATTAAACCACAGGCAGTCAGCATTTAGGATAAAGCCAAATGCTTGATTATATGAGGAAAAATGTACAGTTGAAGACAACATTTATTTATACAGATTCTAAAGTACTAACAAAATAGTACATTTTATATTGCGTTATAAAAATGAATATTAAAATAAACAATACAGCACAATACAACAATAATTACAGTATTAGTAATAAAACCTGGAAGATGCTTTTCATTGTCCTTATATAAGTAGTAATAAGTCTACTGTGCCATACACATTAGTGTCACTGGACCGAGGTGTCCCTTTGTAGGGATACTCTTATCTAAAAGGCTACATATGCTGATTATAATATTGCATTTTTAATAACATAGAAAATGTTGAGATTAATAAAATTGATATAGTTCTGAAAACGACAATAAAACTTGAGATCACATCTACACTATATAAAATACTGGAGAAAAAAATGGCCCGTAAGTCCATTAGAGTCGTTTGTTTAAAATGTGGCATAATACTGAAATTCAAATTTATCACACGCACACACACAAAAAAACAAACTAAGTGCACAGAGTACTTATTGCAACTGCTCTATTCCACAGTATTGGTATTAGGGGGGGGGGTCTTTCCCCCATAATGCAATGGAATGGGAGGGGCAAAGCATTTTGTCCCTGAATGTTCCAACTCCGATAATGGTGGTTTGCTGATCCGATCCCTTCTGAAATATTTTGGTTGGAACATTCCGGTTGCAGCCTTTGTATCCCGTAGCAATGATAAGATAATGCAGGGAATGTAGTGGTTGCAAAGAAATAAAACTGGCGGCCTGAGCTGTGTGGCCTTGTGCATCATCGAAATAGGTGTGCTCTCTCTACGTAAAACAGATTTTGCATTGCAGCAAGCATTGTGCAACCCTTCCCTTCACATGAGAGTTATGAGCAGAGGTAGTGATATTTCCCCTGCTGTCCTTCCCAGTAAAATATATGAAGGAAAGAGAGGAGTAAAGGACATATTTATATCATATGTTAATTCTCTCCAAGGGAAGGGGGAGAGGGAAAGCTTGGCATTGAGGGGAAATGTTCCCTTTTTCTTGTTTTAATTACCTGATAAAGGAGAGGTTTGTGTGTACCATGCTTAAGAAAAAGGCATAGAGTGTGTATGCTTGATCATGGATGAAAAATGGAAGTTCAAGGGAAAATGCATTGATGAAGATTTAAGAAAAATATGGAGTAAATAAAAAGCGGAAGGGACATAATATCTAAGAGGGAGGGAGGATAATAAGATTATAATTATCTGTTGAAAAGCCTGTCAGAAATCCTATATTCTTTAAATGTGTTTTCCCCCCTTTTCTCTCTCTTGCGTTTCTTTCTTTTTTTAAAAATGGCCTTAAATCTATGAAAAAAAAATCTTAATAAATATTTTAAATGTACAGGGAAAGGAAGTTCAAGGGAAAATACATTGAAACGATGTATGTGGCTTTGTTCATTTGGATGAAAAGTCTTTTGAATGCGTACAATAGTATGAAAATTAGGGCTGATCACACTTCACACTACAGGTGTGTGATATGAAAGCTTTTCTTGATGTGAAAATCCGCTTCAAGGAGGCATTTGGAAGTTGAAGAATATGTTCGTGTGGTCTTAAATTCATTCTACACCCACCAGCTTACTGTTTCCAACTGTCCATTAAAATCGGTGTTTTGTTGTTGTTGTTTTTTCATTTGAAAAAGCAGATGCATTTCACTACCTGGGCTTTTATAAAATAGGTAATTTGGCCAAATCTGCATGTAATCTGTAAACGAAAAAATGAGCTGGTAATATGCTTAGGTGAAGACAAAGAAATGTCTGGAGTGGATTTCTGTGCTTTTAGGCAGAGGTGACAAGATGTATATTGGCTTTAGAAATTTGCCTGAGTAACAGTAACTGCCACAGCAATTTACTGCTCGAACTGCTTTGTTTTACACACACACAGACACACACGTGTGTGCGTGTGCACACACAAACACACACACACACACACACACACACAGAGGCAGGCAGATTGGTCAAATACCTGAAAGCTGTACATTTTTTTAAAAAACTG